ATTTACTTTTTTGTGTAACATTTTTAATTGCATTATTTAATCGCTATATTATTCAATAAGAAAATACAAAAACATTAATACTTACTTAACCTCATCTTGACGGAGTTCACAGATTTGTCTGCGTCGCACGCTCCAACATGCCTAACACGCTCCAACACGCCTAATACGTTCGCGTCACCGGAATCAATGTGGCGATTAGATGTTCGCATCGTGTTAGAGCATACTCCATGGATCAATCAATTAAGAGCACGCTCCATTTGTCTCACCTCAGAAGGTGGTACGATTGGAGCATGTTACGCATGCGTAATGGTTGAAAAACATTCTATATTAAAAAAAATATTTCTGATTCATTTTGTATAAAAATGCATTTAATAAATGCGTTTGATATAAATATAAAATGATATAACAATATTATATAATATTAATACAATAAAGTAATTAAATAAAATTAATGAAATTAGAAAAACTAAAAAATAAAATAATATTATATAAATATAAAATAAAATAATATTAATACAATAAAATATAATATAATATAAAAATATAATACAACTTTTATATATAGGATCTTTCAATAGGGACGCTCGAAATTTGTTAGATCATAGTAGCCATGTTGTTAAAGTGACATCTGTCAAATTTGTTGTGAATTGTTTAGTAGTGTATGGCAAATCACCATGGAAGGTTATAGTGTTGAGCAACGTGTGCAAATCATAAAATTTTATTATCAAAATCAATGCTCCATTCGAGAAACGTTTCGCGCATTACGTGATTTTTATCCTCGCCACAACCATCCTGCCGAATCGACTATTCGACGTTTGGTGGCCAAATTCGAGTCAACCGGTTCGATAAATAATCAGTCAACACCAGTACGTCACTGAAACGCAAGGTCTGCTGAAAACATCGCTGCTGTGCGTGAGAGTGTACGGGAAAACTCGAAGCGGTCAATTTCTCGTCGTTTACAAGAACTTGGCCTTTCTGCGACTTCAACTTGGCGAATTTTGCGTCGGAACTTGGGTCTGCACCCCTATAAAATTCAACTGATCCAGGAACTTAAGGTAAACGACCATAGACAACGCCGTGTGTTCGCTGATTAAATTCTGGAGCAAATTCTTGGAAGTTAACCCAAATTTCGCCAAACAAATCATCTTTAGCAATGAGGTCCATTTTTGGATGAATGGATATGTGAACAAACAAAATTGTCGAATTTGGGACGATACCAATCCACGCGAGATACACTAGCTCCAAATTCCGAGAAAGTCACTGTTTGGTACGGATTTTGGTCTGGCGGAATCATCGATCCGTACTTCTTCCAAAACGAAGCGGGCGTTGCCATAACCGTTGGGGTCATAACCAACGGCGAGCGCTACAGATCGATAAGCAATTTCTTGTGGCCTAAAATAGATGATATGGATACCGATAACATGTGATTCCAACAGGATGGCGCTATGTGCCACACACCGCATGCCACGATAGACATTCTGCACGAGCGATTTGAGGGCATGGATGGTTATCTCGTGCGGCGGCGACGTGAACTGGCCACCGAGATCATGCGATTTAACACCTTTAAACTTTTTCCTTTGGGGCTATCTTAAATCGCAGACTATACGAATAAATCGCAAACAATTGATGCTCTCAAAGTCAACCATCCAGCAAATTCAGCCAGATTTATGCGAGAAAGTCATCGAAAATTGGACCGCCCGAATACGTGTCACCAAGCGAAGCCGCGGTGGAGATTTGAGCGACGTTATATTCCATACTTAATGCCATAAAATATTCTTTCAAATAAAAAAAAAATTTTTGTGGATATCTCACACACAACTTATTTTATTTACATTTAAAAATCGAGCGTCCTTATTGAAAGATCCTTTAGAAAAGCAGGCTTATGTAAATGCAATGCAATAAATTAAAATGTCAAGGCTTTTTAGAAAAAAATATAGTTAACTAATAAAATTCGTCTTTTATTACTTATTCGTATATTTTATTATTTATTCGTATAACGCTTTAAATTTCAAACGTTTCGACTTACAAAGTCTTCATCAGTGATAATAAAGAAAACGTATTTATGTAACCAATATCAACGAACTAACATATGATAAAAATTATCGCTCTAGGCTAATCTTATTTAGTTATTCCTGCGTTAAGATTACGTTAATATTACGAATTGACTATTCTATATAAATTAACGTAAATGAAAAATAAATTCTCATCAATATTGAATTAAATATAATAATTTTTTAATCAGAAATTGACATTTAATTGTACAGAATATAGTAGGATAGTCATTGAAGAAATCCTCGTTCGGAATGATGTTTTTTGAATGATTTTATATGAAATTGTTGACTGAACTGATTCTCGATAACAACTGAAGAATCGTAGTTAAACACAATTTTATAATGGACTTTTACACTTCTGACTTGATATTTATTTCGATCAATCATATCGATCAATTGTAGAAATCGATCAATCATAAAATCATTAAATGTGAGAAAAACAATCAACTATAATTGATCGATTTCTACGCTTACTTCTTAATCAACTATCATTACTGCCCATTGTAGACCATGCAGTGTATACAGTATATACAGCAGCACAATTCTCTATTGGCACCTTTGATGTTAGTATTGGAGTGCGTGAAATAAATAAGTTACCTAGTGTTGCCACGGCTGCCACCCAAACTTCTTTCTCTTTTCATCTTTTTTTCACTCTGTCAAAATTACTCGTAAAACTCACTAGATTTATTCACATTGCAATCCAAGGAATTCGTTGAAGTGAGTAAGTATTATTGTAGGAACATATTGGAGCATATTGAAGCATGCGACGCAAATAAACCTAATATTGCAATGAAATAATTTAAACTTTATGAAAATTAATAAAAATAAATTGTAAATATATTGAAAAATAAAGAAAAAATATTTAAAAATTAGGAAAGATTATTAAATTAATTTTAAAATGTATATTTGTAATATTAAAATATTATGTAATTATATATCTATGAAAATATTATGAGAAAGCTGATATAGAAGAAATTTATATACATATATATCCAAAAAATAAGTTTAAAATAAAATAAGTTTAAAATACAATAAATAAAAAGAAATCTTTCTTGCTCAGTTTTCTATGTTATTTTTGTGCACTTTTTCATTTTATCACTTTTTCACAAAAATTAAACCAATCTCTCGAGATTTCTCACACATTTCACCAAATAGACAATACACGTAATATTTCCCTCTAAATTTCTACTCTGAACTATGTATGCTTGAAAGACAAATGTTTAAGTAGAATATATATAGAAATGCTTAAATAAATAGAGAGAGAAAAGAAAAGAGAGCAATAAAAAAAGGAGGAAAAGAGACGGGGCAACTTACTTATTTCACGCATGCACATTTTGGCCATCAGGAGAGTTAAGATCAGGCCATAAGATCAGGAGAGTTGCGCTACTGTATATATTGTGGCATAGTCGCAGGCTTCCGGTGTTTGAAGGGGCGTCTTATTTTCATTTTGATTACATCATCTTTTTGTTCTACTCGTCCGGTTCGAAGTGACCGGTGCATTCAAATTTATGATTTGTTCAATTCCGAAGATCATCAGTGGCCAAGTATCAGCCAGTTAGGCTGCGAAGCCAGTTAAAAGAAGAAGAAGAACACAATCGCTGCAGCGAGTCGGAATAATAGACATTCTAACCTCTAAAATCTCGAATGCTTTAACGCTTAATTTCTCGATTCACGAGGCCGACCATCATTTTTTTTTTGCCAGATTCTTTCATTTTGAGTGAAAACGTGTCAAATGAGTACATATTTATTAAAATTCTTGAGTAAGACTCGTATTCTAAATAACTTTTGGACCAACTGTATCTCCAATTTGATGAAACTAGGCTCATTCGACGCGTTTTGCTCGAAACGAAAGAATCTGAAAGAAAAAACATTAGATCGACCTCGTGAACTGAGATATTAAGCGTTAAAGTTGACGACTATTTAGGTTAGAAAATCTGTTACAGCGACGATATGCAGTGACTGGGCATGTTTATTCGCCACGGTCATGCACAACATATAATTGCTAGAATAAGCAATTTCTGCTTAAATTACACAATTTTCTTCTTTAAAAACACATTCTCTGCTTTAAGAATACAAATTATTTTCTATATAATTTTTATTTTTACAGCAATTTGTTTTGATTAGGTATTTGTTTGTTCTAAAAGCACAAATTTTCTACTTTAAAAACAAATTTTCTACTGTAAGGGTCACTTTCACCAAGCTCCGATTAACTTAACGGACTTAGTAACGGGCAGGATTCCAACTGAAGCTGATGTCTGAGAAAAAATATGAACTGAAGAGTTAAACATATTTCACTAATTATAACTGTAATTTTACATACTATATTATAATTATACATACTATATAACACAAAAATAAGTTATTCACAAATAGCTACCAGAGAGAAACTTTGCTACATAAGTTAGTATTACAAATCTATATAACTTCTCTCTTTGCATTTAGGCTGTTAAGTTAATCGGAACTTGGTGCCCCTAATAAAAACAAAAATAGTATATATAGAAAATAATTTGTATTTTTACAACATAGGAATATGTTTTTAAAAAGCAGAGAATTTGTATAATTGAAGAAAATACTTATTCTAGCCTCAATTATATGTTGACTGCAGTGTATAGACGTGTCCAATCGTGTCGCTGTGTCTCGTCGCTATGACAGATTTCTTAATCTCGATACTCGTCAACTTAACGCTCAATATCTTAGTTCGCGAATTAAGTCAAATCTAACGTTTTTTTCTTTCGTTTCGAACAAAAACGCATCAAATGAGTTTAATTTCATTAGAATCGTAGGTGAGGATCATATTTTACATATCGAACTTTGTTTTAAACATTAATAATTATATTAATAAGCATATTGTCCTTGAAGTTAAATATAAAATAAGAATCCGTAACTAATTAAACTGAAATTAGATTTATAAAATCTATGATTAGACCACTAGCTGTAATGTCATATATTTTCAAAATTAATTTTTTACTTAAAAAATACAGGGGATCCGCCTTGACAACTGTCATCCAGCGTTATCTGAAACAAGTTTTTGTTTACAAAGGAGTTGACATAAATAAATACATATTGCGTAAATTTAATCCAGATCAAGTGACACAAATTATACATAAGAAAGTCATCTGTCACAGCGCCCGATATGTTAGATAAATTAAACGTACTTAGTTCCTAGATGTGAACCTAGATTATTGTCTAGATGTCATTTATTGATATTTTTATTGTTGAACTACAAAATTTGTACAAAATAAATGTTCATAACATAACAATTGTGTCTTAACTATATAAAATACAACTGTTTATTCTTAGCACATACTTTCTTTAAGAACACTTTTCTACAGTTTTGCGATTTCTCCATGCTCTCATATATGTTCTTGGATGAATAGGTAAAAATCCAGCGAGTCCTAATAAATCTGCAACAGGTGTGGACATTTGTGCTCCTTTGGCAATCCAATATTGTATTCTTTCAAAATTGAAGGACACTAATTTTTCATTATGCATATTTGGAATAGGATCATATACACCAACTTGTTCTATTGGTGGTTTTGTTTCTCTTGTTTTTACCTACAACAAAAATTAATTTATTGATTCTAGCTATAGAAGAATTTTTCTCTTTCTCTTCAAATTTTTATATTTGAGCCGATTCTACAATAAGTCGGTAGTTGGTAATCAGAAGTCCTAAGTCTTAAAAAAGTATAAAATGATTTCACAGCCATAATGAATTATTTAACTCGACAATGGAAAAGAATAAAGTTGAATTTGGCCAATCTTGAGAAAATAGAACCTCAGCACAAAGATTGTTGTCAACAAGTCATGAAACTTTAGTCGTAGATCAACGCACAATGTTTTGATCAATCTACACTATATATAACTTACATTTCATATTTCAGTTATGGACATCCTTGTGCTTTAAGCCTGATTACATCAATGTTACTTTGACTTAAAGCAAGACTTAAACCTACTAAAAAAAATGATGTCAAAAGTTATAGCGTTTTCTCTTGAGATACACTGAGTGTAACTTCGCACTACATCAGTTGCGTGTAAGTGCTGTATCAGTGCTGCATTATACAAGTGTACATACACCATGGTGTGTATACTACTTCATACTATTGTGTTTAATTCTGCTGCTGGTTAACTTTCATTTTCAAATTTTTAATATCACATTAACTCTACATCATCTCTTTGAGATCGTGCATAAAATTTGCACTATCATACATGGAAACACGTAATGAGTTTGCCTATCACCAGCCAAGGAAACGCTATTAGATAATTTGAAAAATCACATGATATTAGAAATAATTTTATCCATGTGATTTTATAGTTTTCAAATTTTAACGAATTGAATAATAATAGAAATAGAAGAAAAAAAGAACATATGTGATTTTTCAAATTAATGATTTTTAAAAATCATGTACTGATTTTTAAATGGAACAATCTGTTCATGATTTATATGTTTTAATTACATGAATTTCATCATGCAACTGTGTGATGTGATTTTTTCAATAGGAAAAACTCTGTCTCGTTTAAATAAAAAAAGAGACAGAAATCAAGAGAATTTTATGCCTTTCTTAAAGTCAAAGTAACGTTGATGCAATCGGACCTTAATCATACAAGTTAGCTGTTGGCCAATTTGAACAATTCACTGATAAAACTTGTATAACTAAGACTACAATTCTCTTAAGACTGACCAAATTCGACTTTATTCCTTCCCATTAATCGAAATAAATGACTTCCTGTACAATTAAACTTATAGATACAAAAAATCATAGTCACCTATTTAGATTAAGATGGGTTAAGATTTAAGATTTCTGATTATCAACTCATTGCAGAACCAGTTTTAAAAGTTGTCCCAACTTACATCAATCACAACAATATGATAAAACGGTCTATTGGTGCAACCATAACGAGCAAATCTTATTACTTTACTGAATGGCGTAATAATACCTGTTCCAGAAGAACAGTGTAAAGGTAGTCGAGGCATTTATTATTTGTGTGTTAATATTAAAAAATCACCGTTTTTATACAATTACTTGTTTACATTAGACTATCTTTTAAATCAGAAATTGGCTTAAGGCTTCTGTCACCACAGATTACCTAAGAAAATAGATAATCAACTTCCATATTTTACTTGGAAGAGTGTTTTGAACACCACCTAGGCGAATATACATAAAGGAACTAATGGCTGCTTTCCTTTTAGGAGACACAAATCGACACAGTATAATATACTCAAACACAGTTTGCCACACTTAAATGAAACGCGATATGTGCAGTGTGTATCGTGTGTACGAACTTTTAACACCTAACCTTAAAAGATTTGAATTTTTTTTATTATTGTAAATATATATATTTATATATAT